ACTTTCCAAACCTGAAGAGAATCATTATTTTTCACAAATACACAAATCCAAAATGTTACCTTACGCCAATATTGGTTCAGCAAATCTTACATATAGAACTATGTTCACAATTCATAAATAATCAAAGTACCGCTTCTCTTTATTTGGGACAATTTAACTGGCCACATAAACCTAAACCCCCAGATAAAACACACACTACCTTTTTTTTTTAAAGATTTAAAGGCGCCCCGACACACACTACCTTTTATTCACTTAGTTAATCATTAAATAAGTATTGTTTAAGCATCTAGAACAAGTGTGATATTGTACTCAAGATGTACAATGATGAAAACAGACATGGCAGCTATTCTCACGAAGCTTACTGCTAGCAGGAATCTTTCATACAAACACCATACAGCATTTGAAAATGTTTGTCACATACAGGGCGCCTGGGTGGCTCAGTCAGTTGGGCGTCTGCCTTCGGCTCAGGTCATGATCTCAGGGTTCTGGGATCGAGTCCCACATCGGGCTCCCTGCTCAGTGGAGATCCTGCTTCTCCCTCTCCCCCTGCTTGTGCTCTCTCGTGCTGTCAAATAAATATTTAAGAAAAAAAAAGCGCAGAAAGTACATATTATGATAGCAGCTAATATTTATTATTTACATGGTGCAGTGTGCATGCTGAACCCTTTATATTCAATGTCTTACGACATGCCCCAATTCATTCATTCATTCTACTGGTACTGAATGCTTATTACTATGTGACAGGCAGCATTCTATGTGCGTGGGGACACCTCGGGGACCAAGATAAATCAAAGTCCCTGTGTTTAAGGAACCTCCATTCTGGTGGGGGAAGAGAGGAAACAATATAAATATGTAAACTACACTGTACCTTGGATGGAGGGTAAGTGCTGGAGGTAAAAAGAGAGCAGGAAGAAGGGATGGGGCGTGAGGGGAGGGCTTAGTTTTAAATAGCATGGTCACTGCAAGGCCTTCCTGCAAAGGTAACAACTGGGAGTCAGCCAGGCAGATGGCGTCCTAGAACAAAGGCCCTTCCTCAGCAAATGTTGTACTGTTCCCAGGTGCAAAGGCTGAGAAGGAACAGAAAGGAGGCCAGTGTAGCTGGCTATGGGAAGGGAAACATAAGGAGGTGAAGTCGGAGAAGTCGGGGAGGGGTGGCAGCCGTGGAGAGCCTACTGAGTGGCAAGCACAACTCTGGCATCTCCCTGGCGGGAGAGGGCAGCCCCTGGAGGGATGCGAGCAGAAGATTTTCTGCTGAGGAGTGGGCACGCGAGACAGGACGCCAGTCTAGCAACACAGGTGAGATGTGGCGGCCGCCATCATGGCAGCAGCGGAGAAAGGAGGCAGAAAGGAGGGCAGAGGGGTCAGGTTCTGTACAGATTTTTTTTTTTTTTAAGATTTTATTTATTCATTTGAGACACAGAGAGAGAGAGAGCATGAACAGGGGGAGAGGCAGAGGGAGAGGGAGAAGCAGACTTCCCGCTGAGCAGGGAGCCTGATGTGGGGCTCGATCCCAAGACCCTGGGATCATGACCTGAGCTGAAGGCAGACGCTTAACCATCTGAGCCACCCAGACGCCCTCTGTACAGATTCTGAAGGCAGAGTTGGGAGATTTTCCTGTGGGGTTGAGAGAAATAAGAACTCGGGAGGACTCTGGGGCTTCAGATCTGGAGTGGAAAGGATGGAGTCGCCTTTAACGGACACGGAGAAGACTTTGGGAGCGGCAGGTTTGGGGAAGTTTCGTTTTCCACAAGTTACTTTGGATGCCCAGTAGACATCCAAGCTGAGATGTCCAACAGGCAGCTGGACTAACGTGTGAGGCTCAGAGGAGAAACGCTGTAAGCTTACAGGTGGTATTAAAGCCACAAGAGTGAAGGCGATCCTAGAAGGGGCGGCTGGAGCTAAGGCAGAGGGTCACCATGGGAGCCCTGGGGCCCTCCAACACCAAGAGGCTGTCATGGAGACTCAGCAAAGAAGCAGAAGCAGCAGCTGGCGCGGTGGGAATGTGGTCCTGTCGGGCGCTGAGCCAGAACCACTGCTGTTTCCACATGAAAGAAGCAGCAGCAGAGGTTCGTGGGGGGGGGGGGGTTGTCGTCTACTCTTAGCTGCTTCAAATCCTTCTTAGAAATCTATTTTAGAGGCGCCTGGGTGGCTCAGTTGCTTAAGCGTCTGCCTTCGGCTCAGGTCATGATCCTGGCATTCCAGGATCGAGTCCTGCATCGGGCTCCCTGCTCAGCAGAGAGTCTGCTTCTCCCTCTGTCCTTCAACCTGCTCTCATGCTCTCTCTCTCTCTCAAATAAATCAACAAAATCTTTAAAAAAAAAAAATCTATTTTAAGGTGAATATACATTGAAATGACATTGAACAAGTCACTTAATCTCTAATTTGCATTTTCTCATCTATAAAATAAGGGTCTATAAAAGAATTTCACACCGGAGCACTAATCTCAGGGTTCTTGTGAAAAATCAATGAAGCAATACTACAGAAACGTGATCATTTTTTAACTCGAAAGCTAATGAAGATCAGTTGAGAATATTAAAAATGTATATATACATCAAGCTAAGGAAATAAAACTTAACGAAACAGCTCTTGGGTGAAAAATGCCACTTTACACTCTTCTAACAAAATATCATGACAAAAATTTTTCCATTATTCATATTTTTTTTTTAAAAGATTTTATTTATTTGAGAGAGAGAGAAAGAGAGAGCACATGAGAGGGGGGAGGGTCAGAGGGAGAAGCAGACCCCCAGCTAAGCAGGGAGCCCGATGTGGGACTCGATCCCGGGACTCCAGGATCATGACCTGAGCCGAAGGCAGTCGCTTAACCAAGTGAGCCACCCAGGCACCCATCCATTATTCATATTTTGATGTGAATATAGAAGAGGTGGTTTTGAAAAGTATTCATGTGTCAGGAATGTCTCACAATTGTGTAGCTGTGGCTGCATGAACCAATGACTGCTGTGGGTCCGTGGGGACAAGGAACTGTCCTGTGTGTGGTGTGGTGTGGGCACTGTTCCTGTATCTTCCAAGACGGAGAGGCTTTTTTTGACTTACATTTTAATAAACAATTATCCTCAATGGGGGAAAATATGTACATACACAGAGAGAGAGAGAGAGAGATTTACAGGAGATAGAAATACTAGGGATGTAGAACATGCATCCTAAAAAGTTCAACTAGAGAAACATCCCCATTTACCTCTGTCTACCTTACAAGCTTGGCCCTGTTGACACCCACCATTTCTGGGTAACAATTCCCAGTTACAGTAAATAGATAAATCCGCTAGTCATGAGTTATTTGGCAAGCACGTAAGAGGAAGTTCTTTTTGGATGTCAGTAAAGTTGGCAAATTACCTGTCTGTTTCATTGTGTCCAAAACACTTTGTGTTCCTCAAAAGGGAGGTGTCATCTGAGACACCGCCACTGCCTAAACATGGAAGAAGGCAAACCGGGGGCGGGGGTGGGGGGTGTCTCCACAGTCATGGCTTTTTAACGATGTGGGCTTGTCGCTCTCCCTACTGGGATCAAAGTGTACCTCCACATCTCTGTATTTCTCCTTCCTGGGCCTACCGCCAGGTAGGCTTTCTGCCTTTTGTGTCTCCAAGCCCCTTCTTCACTATTTCACTAAATTGGCTGATCATCCCGGAGTCTTGGGTTTCCCTCCTTTTCCCCTAGCTGGGTTTCTGATCCTCTCCCTTGGGACCTTGCCCTCCGCAGCTGGTTTGCTGTCCAGTTTTGCTCAGTAAACTCAGATGCACTCTCATACACACATCTGGCATGGAGGCCTGGGTGACTCATTGGTAGACTTTACAAACAAAACGTGCCTAAAAATAAATTAGGCACTTTCCAATTCATTCCACCTTATCTAAAATGTGACTGAATTCTGTCCAAAGTGCTAAGTGATATGGTTATTAAGACAGAACATCTCCATTTTATTGCATTTTTTTTCTAACGTTTCCCAACTAAACATCTACATCGACAAAACAGCAATGTCTTTCTTGAACACACCCTTTTCTGGTGGTAAGTTTCAGAGATCTGAGTGTCATGTTTAGCTAAATTCAACTACTATTTATTGAACACCCCTTTTATATTTATTTTTTTTAAGATTTTACTTATTTGTCAGAGAAAGAGAGAGCGAGCATGAGCAGGTTGGGGGTGGGGAGCAGAGGTAGAAGGAGAAGCAGGCTCCCCGTGGAGCAGGGAGCCAGATGAGGAACTTGATCCCAGGACCCTGGGATCATGACCTGAGCTGAAGGCAGACGCTTAACCGAATGAGCCACCCAGGCGTCCCAAGATTTTTTATTTTTAAGTAATCTCTACACCTGACACGGGGCTTGAACTGACGACCCTGAGATCAAGAGTGGTGCGCTCCAAATGAGCCAGCCAGATACCCCTGTTGAACACCTCTATTAAAGTAAATGGCCCCAAGCTAAAACACAGGCATTGCCAATCACTCTTCTGCATTTCTGATTCTGCCTTAAGCCAAATTCAGCCTGTGAATATTCAGCCACTTCATAAGCAAATGAGACATTTTTAATGCAGTAAAAATAACACACTAAGCAGGTAGCCTCAGTATGAAACAAATATTTAAAAAACTATTTCACTAAATATATGTTGCAACTTTTCTATAAATGTAAAATTATTTCCAAACAGCAAGTAAAAAACATCAGAATATTTTGTCTCTATATAACGCGCAGTCTTTAAATTTTTAATGTCACTCTACCAACCCAGATCTTGCCAGCCCTCAAAAGATTCTGGGCAAGAGCAACATTTTGATGCAACAATTTAAACATGGATTTTTGGTTTACTTTGTTTACTTTGACTGTCGCTGGATGATGATCACACACAGCCCTGCTGCCAAGGGAGGTCAGAGCTCAAAGGTATTAGTACGGAAACCTAACTCTCAAGTTTGGACAGAGACTGCAAACAGAACACCCCATCTGATGGGCTTGACAGACCTTCTGTATTCAGTGAGAGTCGGGGTCCAGCACGGGGACTGAACTTACTTCAGAACCTGGAAGAGCCCAGGTGTCACGGATGTTGGTCTCACCATCCCAGCTCCACTAATGGTCCCCAGATGAACCTGAGGATAATAGACTGTCCGAAGAGCTAATCTTGAAGACTGCAACCGTGTCTTAATGACTTCTAGTGGACAAGTAAAAATAGCACCAACCGTGCCCCCACACCTGTTAAGAGAAGACATCACAACAGGATCAGAAAAGCTATACTATTCCCTAGACTGATAAAGTATGAAATTTCATTTTTCTCTCTTAAGAAAAAAAGGCACTTGTTTATTTCATAATTAGAACATACTGGGAGGTAAGAAGAATTTGCTGAAGTCTCAGCAGCTAAAGAGAGAACCACTGCTAACATGATGCGCGCCCTTCAGGGTCTCTATCGCTGGCTTTTTAACGTCCCCTCCCCAGCTTACCCGGATGCTGTGGCCCTCTCTCTGAGGCCGCATCTACAGCTACCATACCACCTGTGATGGCTACACACTAGTCCTCTCTGCCACGGTCTACCATTTTAACCCATTATTCTGTTAGCCATTTCCAACTCCGCTGCCATGCTGCAGTGAATATTCTATTTTTTTTTTTT